CTGTGCAGCGCGGGGAGTGGGCGGCAGTCTGCGCCGCCTCAGGCAGCCTCACGCCTGCCGGGCAGTTCCCAGGCACCGGCGGTCGGCCCTGCCCCGTCGTGGCTTCTTTATTTAATGTGCGGCCGGGCAGGACTGAACGTCGCGCCACACCTGTGTTCCGGGGTTTGCCAAGCCTCCAGAGCTTCCATTTGTGGACAAGCAGGGCCGTTCACTGTTTGGAGAAATCAGTGAGCAGCCGCAGGCTCCTAGACAAGCTGTGTTTCCCAGGCCTGTGACTGGCCCTCGCCCTGACCCCTGCCCTGCCGCTGGGTCACGGATGTTCCCACGTGGAGCCCCGGGTCGGAGTCCACGAGGAGGTGACCTGTTCCCAGAGGCCCCGAGAGCCCTGGGTCCCACTTCCCTACTTGTTGGCCCCGGGTGGGGGCCATGCTGAGCACCCCCAGCGTGACCCCCGGCCTCCCTGAGCCTCCACTGGGCTCCATCTCTTCTCACGGGAAACCGCTCGGCCCTGCCCTCCCGCAGTCACGTTGGATTCGGAGCCTCTAACCTACGTGTCAGGATGGGACCCAAGCCCTTGGCCTCAGAGGGAAGAGAAAGCTGCCTTTGTTGGCGGCCCCGCAAGCTGGAAGACCATCACACGGCTGTCCCCTCTCTCTGGCCCCAGGGCCTTGCCAGCAAATCCTAATCCTGGCTTTGGAGCTCGAGACCCAAGCTGAGCCTTTGTGAGGAGGATAAAGGGCGCTTTCTGATCCTTTCAGGAGGAGGGCTGTTTTGGGACTAGGCATCTCAGCCGTTTCTCCCTCCCTGGTCCCTTGTCCGGAGCTGCTCAAGGAGGGTGCCCAGTACCTGGGGAGGCCAGGCCGCACGCCCGTGTCTGCAGGGAGGCCTGCACCCTTTGCTTCAGCTTTCCGGGGCTCCCACTGAAAGCCAGGCTCCCAGAGGCTGAACGTGACACCCCATGCACTTCCTCACCGGCTTATTGACTCCCTGGGTCAGCTGGTCCATGGTGCTCACCACGGGCTGTGCCCTGGTGCCCCATCCATGTCCTGCTGGCCACGTTGTGCTGCCACAGCACTGCTGTGGGGGGCGCTCCTGCATCTAGGCCCTGAGGTGCACGGCCGGGGCTCTTCCCACTCAGGTTACTGGATTGACCGGGGAAACTTGCAGAAGCCCCTGCTCAGGCGGTGCCCTCAGGCCAATGGAATTGGGCAGGTGGGGGGCCGGGTGCCCTGTTATGGAGCAGCCACTGCTGGGAGGGGTGCGCCGCTGGCGCCCCGTGACTCCGCCTGCACGGGCGGCTGGGGCATCCGGGGTTGCATCTGCTGGGAGGGGTGTGCCACTGGCGACCATGCAGGCGTGCGCACCTGGCGCCCCGTGACTCCGCCTGCATGGGCGGCTGGGGCACCCAGCGTCACACCTGGGCTTTCGGGCCGCGTCTGGTTCTCACGTTGCTTCCTGGTTGGGACTTTACCTTCGTCTCATTCACCCCTTTCCGTGACTCTGGGACATGGTGGTGTCAGCCCTGCCTTATGGAGGTGAAGGTGGAGGCTTGGAGCAGTTAAGAGACTTGCCAGGACCACACAGCTAGGAAGCCATGGAGCCAAGCTTTTCCTGTTTGCTCGCTGCCCTTGCCGAGGGTGTGCGGTCAGTGAGGGGGACGAGACGCCGTC